AACGCCCATCCCGGAGAGTCGTCCCAGAAGGATACCATGATCGATGGTATCAAAAGCCGCTGAGATGTCCAAGAGAACCAACAGGGTCACACTCTCCCTGTCCAGCTCTATTCTGGCCACCAGGGGAGTTGTCCCTTCACCGTCCATTTGTGACACTGATGAAGTACTTCCTCATTATTTGCATGCTTGCTGGAAATTTTTATGGCATTGTAAGCTAGCCTCCCCGCATAAGTGGTACCTAAATTTTCTACTTGACAGATGCAACTGTCTTTTGGGCTGCAAAGGTCGACAGCAAGCTAGACAAATTGGTCGGAAGCTCACTCCAACCCGGGCTGGCTTTGAACTCATGACCTTTTGGTCAGCAATGGTAATAAACTTTATTTATACCCTGCCACCATCTCCCCTACAGGGACTCGGAGCAGCTTACATGAGGCCAAGCCCAAACAACAAATTACAGCAAAATAAAACCAAAAACACAAGCAACGAACAACAATATCATAATTACATAAAACATATGAATACATTAAAGATATGATCAGTAGTGATCTTAATGCAGCTGACTCCCAGCCAACTGTGCCACAGTCCCAGTGCATAGTTTGAACACATGTAAACACTCAAGGGCCCTGATATACCTGCATGTCTATTGGAATGTACAAAAAGGGTTTCCCTCTGTCCTGTTTTAATTACATGCTTTATTCCCAATACAAACTACCTGTTTATTCTAGCCTTTCAAGGTTTCACTTTACAGTCACGAACTAAAACAAGTGGGGTGTTGCCAAGGATTAGCTAAGCACTCTCTCCGTGTATTTACAGAAAGTATTGGTGGTAATATTTGCTAAAGGCCCCCAACACTTACACAATGTTTGACGGAGAGATTAGCAGTTGCCTGTGAAGAGCAGTCCAAGTTAGAGCAAGGCAAACAAACAAGGGAGCCCTGCAAAGAAGGGCATGGGAGAACAACAAAGGAAAATCCAACCCTGATCTGAGGGTGCCTCCTCTGATCTTTTCGGATCCAAAAGTTCAAAGCCCTTCTAGTTCTTCCCAGACTACAACTCCCATCAACCATAGAAGCAAAAATGGTGAGGGATAATAGGAACTGCAGTTCAACATCTAAAGAGTCACAAAGTTTATCATGGGCGAAGCTGAGCAACAATTGCATTTCTTCAATTTTGTTCTAGTTAAACATCTCCAAAAACAAGGCGCATCTTGGAATCACAGGTGTGTCTCACATCTTTTTTGTCGTGGCACTATTGGGGTGCACCTTACAATTGGTGGTGTCTTGCAATGGAAGAATTATGCTTTATAGCAGGTGTGGGCAAACTGCAAAAACATCCGGGTGTCCCGTAGGCAACGTCCTTGCAGACGGCCAACTCTCTCACACCAGAAGCAACTTGCAGTTTCTCAAGTCGTGAAGGGATGACAGAGGGGTCGCCAAGGATCATCAGAAAACACTGTATTTTCTGTTGTTCATGGGGGTTCTGTGTGGGAAGTTTGGCCCAATTCTTTCCTTGGTGAGGTCCAGAATGCTCTTTGATTGTAGGTGAACTATAAATCCCAGAAACTACAACTCCCAAATGTCAAGGTCCATTTTCCCCAAACTCCACTAGTGTTCACATTTGGGCATATTGAGTATCTGTGCCAAGTTTGGTCCAGATCCCTCATTGTTTGAGTCCACGGTACTCTCTGGATGTAGGTGAACTACAACTCCCAAACTCAAAGTTGATGCCCACCAAACCCTTCCTGTATTTTCTGTTGGTCGTGGGAATTCAGAATGCTCTTTGATTGTAGGTGAACTATAAATCCCAGCCATTGCAACTCCCAAATATCAAAGTCCATTTTCCCCAAACTCCACCAGTGTTCGCATTTTGGCATATTGAGTATCTGTACCAAGGTTGGTCCAGATCCATCATTGTTTGAGTCCACACTGCTCTCTGGATATAGGTTAACTACAACTCCAAAACTCAAGGTCAATGCCCACTAAATCTGTCCAGTTTTTTCTGTTGGTCATGGGAGTTCCTTGGTTCAATTCCATCAATGGTGGAGTTCAGAATGCTCTTTGATTGTAGATTAACTATAAATCCCAGCAACTACAACTCCCAAATGACAAAATCAATCCCCCTGCCCAAACCCCACCAGTATTGAAGTTTGGGCATATCGGGTATTTGTGCCAAATTTGGTCCAGTGAATGGAAATACATCCTGCATATCAGATATTTACATTACGATACATAACAGGAGCAATATTACAGTTATGAAGTAGCAACAAAAATAATGTTATAGTTGGAAGTCACCACAACATGAGGAACTATATTAAGGGGTCATGGCAATAAGAAGATTGAGAAACACTGCCTTAGGACATAGGAAAGCCATGTGTGTTTTGGACTTCAACTCCCATCATTCCTAATAGACTCAGACCCTCTCTTTTCCCAGATTATCTGGCAGTGGATATTCATATAACCCAGTTTAATGCAGAAAACCTGGAATAACATCCTGGGATATAGGGTATGTCTGGAAGGTCCCCCAGTATTGTTGGGTTGCTGTGAGTTTTCCGGGCTGTATGGGCATGACCCTGAGTTTTTATTTAAATACTGGTGGCCAGATTTTGTTCATTTTCATGGAAACGAACAAGCAGGGGAATTCCAGACATGAATCAACCAGGGCCATCTAACACCTATAGAATCATAGAGTTGGAAGAGACCTCATGGGCCATCCAGTCCAACCCCCTGCCAAGAAGCAGGAATATTGCATTCAAATTACCCTTGACAGATGGCCATCCAGCCTCTGTTTAAAAGCTTCCAAAGAAGGAGCCTCCACCACACTCCAGGACAGAGAGTTCCACTGTTGAATGGCTCTCACAGTCAGGAAGTCCTTCCTCATGTTCAGATGGAATCTCCTTTCTTGTAGTTTGAAGCCATTGTTCTGCGTCCTAGTCTCCAGGGAAGCAGAAAACAAGCTTGCTCCCTCCTCCCTATGACTTCCTCTCACATCTTTATACATGTTTCCTCTCAGCCTTCTCTTCTTCAGGCTAAATATGCCCAGCTCTTTAAACCGCTCCTCATAGGGCTTGTTCTCCAGACCCTTGATCATTTTAGTTGCCCTCCTCTGGACACATTCCAGCTTGTCAATATCTTTCTTAAATTGTGATGCCCAGAAATGGACACAGTATTCTAGGACTGCGAGAAGATCCAACCAGTCCATCCTCCAGGAAATAAAGCCCAACTGCTCATTGGAGGGAAGGATACTAGAGACAAAGTTGAAGTACTTTGGCCACATCATGAGGAGACAGCAAAGCTTAGAGAAGACAACTATGCTGGGGAAAGTGGAAGGTAAAAGGAAGAGGGGTCGACCAAGGGCAAGATGGATGGATGGCATCCCTGAAGTGACTGGCTTGACCTTGAAGGAGCTGGAGGTGGTGACGGCCGACAGGGAGCTCAGGCGTGGGCTGGTCCATGAGGTCACAAAGAGTCAGAGACAACTGAACGAATGAACAACAACAACATTCTAGGTGTGGTCTAACCAAGGCAGAATAGAGGGGTAGCATTATTCCGTGGACCTAGACACTATGCTCCTCTTGATGCAGGCCAAAATCCCATTGGCTTTTTTTGCCACCACATCACATTGTTGGCTCATGTTTAACTTGTTGTCCACGAGGACTCCGAGATCTTTTTCACACGTACTGCTCTCAAGCCATGTGTCCCCCATTCTGTATCTTTGCATTTCGTTTTTTTCTGCCTGAGTGGAGTATCTTGCATTTGTCCCTGTTGAACTTCATTTTGTTAGTTTTGGCCAATCATCTCTCTAATCCAATGGTTCTCAACCTTCCTAATGCTGGGACCCCTTAATACAGTCCCTCATGTTGTGGTGACCCCCAACCATAACATTGTTTTTGTTGCTACTTCATAAATTTCAGATATGCTAGATGTATTTTCATTCACTGGAGCAAACTGGGCACAAATAACCAATGCATCCACATGTAAATGCTAGTGGGGTTGTGGGAGGATTGGTTTTGTAATTTGGAAGTTGTAGTTGCTGGGATTTATAGTTCACCTATAATCAAAGAGCATTCTGAACTCCACCAGCGATGGAATTGAACCTAATTTGCCACACAGAACACCCATGACCAACGGAAAATACTGGAAGGGTTTGGTGGGTATTGACCTTGAGTTTTGGAGTTGTAGTTCACCTACTTCCAGAGAGCACTGTGGACTCAAACAATGGTGGATCTGGACCAAACTTGCCGTGAATACTCCATATGCCCAAATGTGAACACTGGTGGAGTTTGGGGAAAATAGACATTGGCCTGTGGGATTTGTAATTACTGGGATTTATAGTTCGCATACAATCAATGAGTTTTCTGAACTCCACCAACGAAAGAATTGGGCCAAACTTGACACACGGAACCCCTTGACCAACAGAAAATACTGTGTTTTCTGATGGTCTTGGGTGACCCTTCTGACGCCCCCTCGCGACCTACCCAGGGGTCCAGACCCCCAGGTTGAGAAACACTGCCCTAGGAGTAAACAGCCAGACTTTGAAGCTGCAAGGACATTCGGTGCTGATCAGGAGTGAAACTTTCTGAGGGAGGAGAGGGAGAGAGGAAAGGGCCTGAGGGTGTTAGGAATGATGGGAGTGGAAATCCAAAGCACCTGGAGGGCCCAAGTTGGCCCAAGCCTGTCCTAGATAGACCCATCCTTCAGCTCAGGCGAGGATCTGGAAGGCATTGAGGCTGCCTCTCTCTCAATTTGTAGGGCCTCGTAGGGCAGGAAAGCAGGACTAATCCGGGATCATTGAACCCGACAGGGAAAGGGAAAGTAGGGAAGGAAGAGGCAAAGCCCACTTCGGAGGCAAAAGGCGCAACTCAGCCGCATTCGCCGCCTTCCCGACCCAAGTCGCAAGGCTCCCCAGGAAGCGTCCGCTGTCTTTAGGGATCCGAGACAGAGCTGAGCATTAGGAGGAGGGTCCCCGCCACCCGAGCCCGCGGATAACCGCACACCAACTCACCCAGCAAGGCGGCCATCCCCAGCGCCACCAGCTCCATGGCTCCCGCTCGTCCGGCTCCCAGGCAGAGACAGCCAGCGCAGCAGGTGCCAAAGCCAGAGCGCCTGCCGGAGGGGCGGGGAAAGGGGCGGGGCCTCAACGAGGGAGGGGACCTATCAGGTAAGGAAGTGGGCGGGGCTCGCAGGTAGGGGCGGGGCCTCTGCTCTGCGGGAATACAGAGCAGCCAGAACCAAAACTTGAGACGCACTCCTAAAAGTTCTTTTAAACTTTCTAGAAATTGGGCTGCTGTGAGTTTTCCGGGCTGTATGTTCCAGAAGCATTCTCTCCTGACGTTTCTCTCACATCTATTCAGTTGAGGACACCTTCCCCCCTTCCCCAGCACCAACTGCTGCTCTGGGCCAGAGTGAGGAGGGAGGGGGCCAAGGGACCGTTCACCTCTCAACAAAAGATTCCCCCAGGCACTGCCAAATGCTAATCAAGGTGGTCAGTTGAAACATTCACACCTAGCTCCAGCAGACAAGAGTCCTTTGTCCCACCCTGGTCATTCCACAGATATATAAACCCTTTTTCCTAGTTCCAATAAACCTCACTACCTCTGAGGATGCTTGCCATAGATGCAGGCGAAACGTCAGGAGAGAATGCCTTGGATCACGATTTTAGTTACGAGACGTGGATGTGTTGTTATTGATGTGTCATTATTTTGTATATTTGCTGTTAATGGTTTTAAATATTGTATGTTGTTTGATTGACTTTTGCTCTTGTTGTGAACTGCGTTGAGTCGCCTTTGGAAGAGACCTTGTGGGCCATCCAGTCCAACCCCGTGCCAAGAAGCAGGAAAATCGCAAAGCACCCCATCAGTTGGCCATCCAGCTTCTGCTTAAAAGCCTCCAAAGAAGGAGCCTCCACCACACTCCAGGGCAGAGAGTTCCACTGCTGAACAGCTCTCACAGTCAGGAAGTTCTTCCTAATGTTCAGATGGAATCTCCTCTCTTGTAGTTTGAAGCCATTGTTCCGCGTCCTAGTCTCCAAGGAATCAGAAAACAAGCTTGCTCCCTCCTCCCTGTGGCTTCCTCTCACATATTTATACATGGCTATCATATCTCCTCTCAGCCTTCTCTTCTTCAGGCTAAACATGCCCATTTCCTTAAGCCACTCCTCATAGGGCTTGTTCTCCAGACCCTTGATCATTTCAGTCGCCCTCCTCTGGACACATTCCTACCGAAACGTCAGACGGCCAATTCTCTCACACCAGAAGTCACTTGCAGTTTCTCAAGTCGCTCCTGACACGACAAAAAAAATGTTATTATATTATATATTGTATATACATATATTTATAATATTATAATGTAATGCAATATAATACTACTAATAATAATAATATGATATTATAATTATATATTTATATTACATGTAATATTACTAATAATATAACAAATAATAATAAAATAATAATAAAACTTTATTTATACCCCGCCACCATCTCCCCAAGGGGACTCGGGGCGGCTTACATGAGGCCAAGCCCAACAACACATCAATAAACAACAAAGCAGTAAGCAGATAAAACAATATAATTAATACAATTAATTAAAACAATATAATTAATACAACTCACATATAGACAATAAACGCAAAAATTTTAAAGTTTTAAAACCTAAGGCTGGGCCAGATGTAATAGTTTACTTTTAAAAAAATAAATAAATTACAATATAATGGTATAGTACAATATAGTAATATTTAATACTGATATTGTACTATGCTAATAATATAATATATTGTATGTATATATATCTTGTAAGCCACTCTGAGTCCCCTTTGGGGTGAGAAGGGCAGCATATAAATGTTGTAAATAAATAAATATTACTTCTCATCCTCTGAGTAGCATATTGCTTCTCCAAACTGTATTCTAAAATCCATAGAGTTATACCCCACCGGATGTGGCCCAAACATGGTGGCTGACCTACATTACCAGCTTTGTTGTGTATTCGTTTAGTTGCTTCTGACTCTTCATGACCTCATGGAGCAGCCCACGCCAGAGCTCCCTGTCACCCTCACCACCCCCAGCTCCTTCAAGGTGAAGCCAGTCACTTCAAGGATCCCATCAATCCTTCTTGCCCTTGGTCAGCCCCTCTTCCTTTTTCCTTCCATTTTCCCCAGCATCATTGTCTTCTTTAAGCTTTCCTTTCTTCTCATGATGTGGCCAAAATACTTCATCTTTGCCTCTAATATCCTTCCCTCCAATGAGCAGTCAGGCTTTATTTCCTGAAGTATGGACTGCTTGGATCATCTCACGGTCCAAGGCACTCTCAGGATTTTTCTCCAGCATCACAGTTCAAAAGCATCTATCTTCCTTCACTCAGCCTTCCTTAATGTCCAGCTCCTGCATCCATAGGTTACAGGGAATACCATTACTTTAACTATGTGGATCTTCATTGCCAGTGTGATGTCTCTACTCTTCACCATTTTATCGAGATTGTACATTGCTCTCCTCCCAAGAAGTCAGCGTGTCCTGATTTCCTGGTTGCAGTCTGTGTCTGCAGTAATCTTTGCGCCTAGAAATACAAAGTCTGTCACAGACTCCACATTTTCTCCCTCTATTTCCCAGTTGTCAATCATTCTTGTTGCCATAATCTTGGTTTTTTTATGTTTAACTGCAACCCAGCTTTTGTGCTTTCTTCTTTCACCTTGATCAGAAGGCTCCTCAGCTGATGGGTTCTATCTAGTGCAATTTTCCAGATCAATACCTCAAATAATCCGAGGAACACCAAGAAAAAAGTTTTTTGTTGGGCTGTATAAATATAATAATAATAATAATAATAATAACAACAACTACAATGGCAGGCCGTTGTAGATGCTGAGAGTGGGATTTGCAAGGGAGACTGTTTAGTTTTTGACTGTACTTGTAAATATATTTTGGTCAGTGGGTTACACCCCTGAGCTGCTGAACTTGCTGACCAAAAGGTCAGCTGTTCAAATCCAGGGAGCAGGGTGAGCTCTCACTGCTAGCCTCAGCTTCTGACAACATGAAAATGTGAGAAGATCAATAGGTACCACTCCTGTGGGAAGGTAACAGTGCTCTATGCGGTCATGCTGGCCACATGTCCTTGGAGGCGTCTACGGACAACGCTGGCTCTTTGGCTTAGAAATGGAGATGAGCACAAACCCCCAGAATCAGACTCAATTAGACTTAATGTCAAGGAGAAACCTTTACCTTTTTTTATGCTCCACAAGACAGGACATGTAATTTTTTAAAAAAATGTGTAGTCATATTTTTGATGTCCTTGCTCTTTTTTAAAAACTTTATCGTGTCATATTTGTTGTTAACTACTTTTGAGTAGCTAGATTGGGAGAAAGGTAGGATAAATATAAATAATAATAGTTGAGGACAAGATGCTGCTTGGTTGTTGTAGGTTTTTCCGGGCTATATGGCCATGTTCTGGAGGCAATTTTTCTCCTGACGTTTCGCCTGCATCTATGGCAAGCATCCTCAGAGGTAGTGAGGTCTGTTGGAAGTAGGAAAAATGGGTTTATATATCTGTAGAATGACCAGGGTAATGTTTCAGCTGATCATCTTGATTTGCATTCAATGGCCTGGAAGTGCCTGGGGGGAATCTCTTGTTGAGAGTGAATTGATGTGCCTGATTGTTTACTCTCTGTTGTTTTGCTGTTGTAATTTTAGAGTTTTTTAATACTGGTAGCCAGATTTTGTTCATTTTCATGGTTTCCTCCTTTCTGTTGAAATTGTCCACATGCTTGTGGATTTCAATGGCTTCTCTGTGTAGTCTGACATGGTGGTTGTGAGAGTGGTCCAGCATTTCTGTGTTCTCAAATAATATGCTGTGTCCAGGTTGGTTCATCAGGTGCTCTGCTATGGCTGATTTCTCTGGTTGAAGTAGTTTGCAGTGCCTTGCAGGAAACCCACACACACGGATAGATTATCTACATAAAAACTCCAACCATCACCCAAGTCAAAAAAGAAGCACCATTAAAGCCTTGGCAGACCGTGCAAAAAGAATCTGCGAACCCCACCTCCTCCAAGATGTACTGAACCACCTAAACTGGGCTCTACAGGCCAATGGATACTCCACCTCAGACATCAGAAGAGCTGCAAACCGAGAACAAGCCACGAGAGTAAAGATGAAGATCCACCCAGAGGAAAAGTGTTCTTGCCATACATCAAGGGAACCACTGACCGCATAGGGAAACTGATGAGGAAACACAATATACAAACCACTTACAGACCCACCAAGAAAATCCAACAAATGCTACGTTCAGCAAAGGACAAGAGGGATCCTCTCACCTCTGCAGGAGTCTACCGTGTACCATGCAGCTGTGGACAAGTCTACATAGGGACCACCAAATGCAGCATTGCCCAAACACGAATCAAGGAACATGAAAGGCACTGCAGACTCCTTCAACCAGAGAAGTCAGCCATAGCAGAGCACCTGATGAACCAACTTGAATGAAAAGTAATGCCTCCCACCTTTGTTACTTGGGTTTGGATGGCAATATTTTAATAAATCAAATGCAGAAATAATCCTTAGAATATGCTCTTTAACTCCCATATTAACTTCAGAGAATTGGATACATTTCTGCCAACGATGAGCATGTTTTTTGAAGCCGTCACGCAGAGGTGGCCCTAGGTAATTTTCAATGGTAAGCAAACAGTATTTAGCCCCCCCCCCCTCCCAAAACCAATCACTGATAGATATTTTCTGTTTGTCGTGGGAGTTCTGTGTGCCATATTTGGTTCAATTCCATCATTGGTGGAGTTCAGAATGCTCTTTGACTGTAGGTGAACTATACATCTCAGTAACTACAACTCGCATATGTCAAGGTCTATTTTCCCCCAAGAGCGCCTCAAGAGCGCCCCTGGGCAAAATCAACTATACTGAAAATGCTTACTTTGCGTAATGGGTTGAGCCGCCCCTGCCATCACGGAAGAAGTTGACACTCTGTTTCCACAACCAGCGTCTCACAGTTCTCTCAACGTCTTTATTTATTTATTTATTTATTTATTTATGACATTTATATGCCGCCCTTCTCACCCCGAAGGGGACTCAGAGTGGCTTACAAGTTGAAAGTAAATAAAATATATTATTA